CAAGAGAACTTTACAGTCAGATGTTGCTTATCAAATACTCCCCCTGATTCTTTTATGTGAATAAAAATGTTTTGCTTACAGGGAAATAATAAGTTTTCAGCATATACTCATTGCTGACCTACAAGAGAACTTTACAGTCAGATGTTGCTTATCAAATACTCTCCCTGATTCTTTTATGTGAATAAAAATGTTTTGCTTACAGGGAAATAATAAGTTATCAAAACAGCACTATCATTCTCAAGTAAAATACAAGAAAGAAAATAAAGAAACAAAATGAGGTCTCTACTTTTTCTTTGAGTAAATCAGGGAGGGATGTTAGTATCTTCCGACAATAAAGATAAATTTTCTCTCAAAATAAACTTAGGTAGAAGTCTGGACAAGGTACTACCACTACGAAATCGACCTAAAGAGATTGCCTTGACTGTCAGGCAGAAAACTCAAGAAATGGAATTTTCCTGCCAACTCCGTTGGCTGCTATCGTCAGAGGCTTCCTGAGCTTTTCCTCTTTTCAATATTACCCCCACACGGCACCAATTTTGTAGCTAGACCAATTATTTAAACCTATCAATCAATGTGGACAAATTTGTTGGACCACTCATTTCAGGGATTGTTTTCAAAATTTTAAAATTTGAGGTGGTCTATTCTCTGGCACAGAAAATTGAAAAGGATCTGACTGGGTGGTTGGCCAGAGAGGCAGACTACTCCAGGAGAGAAGGAAGAGGGCCAGAAGAGGAACTGCACCAAACAAAAAAATATCCAGGCAGAAAAAGAGCAGCTGAACACAAGTTGACTTCAGATTATCTATTTAGCTATTTGAGGTAGTGACTATACAATATCAGAAGAGTTGGTGAGAACAGATCATAAAGGACTTGAGATACACAGGGAAAGGCCACATGGGTGGCACACAATGACTAGAATAGAATAGAATAGAATAGAATAGAATAGAATAGAATAGAATAGCTTAGAATGAGATGGGATTGGATAAAATATTTTCAATCCTGTGGATTTCACCACAGATAAAGCCTGTGACTATGGCAAAATTGTCCAACCTATCTGGGGATTTCATTTTTGTGATCAGCAGAGAGATATTATTCTCAAAGTACCTTCTAGCTTTCACATTCTGGTATAATTTTCCTCATAGTGACCTCCCCACAGCCAAATTTAAAACCATTATAGTTCCTTGTTTGAAACCCTCTAATGGCTTTTCCATTTCACTTAGAATGAAAACTCCTCTGCTAACAGATATCTGCCCACCCCCGCTAACTCATCTCAGATCATTTATTCCCTGTTTTACTCCCTTCAGGCAGACAAGCCTCTTTCTCTTCCCAATTAGCTTTAGAGTCTTTGTAGTAGCTATTCCCTCTGATTGGAATGTACTTCCATGAGATTTATTATTATTATTATTGGCTTTTTCTTATGGTTCAGATCTCCCATATGAAATGTAATTCCTCACAAATGCCCTACAAATCAAACCTTTCTAAAACAGTACCACTCCCAAAGCCTGCCTAAACACTAATCATCCTCTATTTCACAATCAAGGATTTTTTTTAAATTATCATGATTTCAAATGATTTTATTTATTTCTCCATTCATTGCCTACTTCTCCCCTCAACCGTATGTAAATTCCAAGAAGGCAGGTAATGGTTTTGCTCAATACTATATTCAATATCTAGAAGGATGTTTGGCACATAGTAAGTATGCAATAGGTGTTGATGAATGAATGAATGATATATGATATTACTAGATTAGAATGATTTTTTTAGTTTTTACTACTCTAAAAACTATTACTGTTTACACAAATTTTAGCTTACTTCTAGGTTTTTAAAAATTGATACATAGCGAGACCCCGTCTCTACTAAAATTAGAAAGAAATTAAT